AAGGAGGCCGAGCCCGGCTCCCCCAGGAGGTGCGACATCATCGTCATTTCCGGCCGGAAGGAGAAGTGCGAGGCGGCCAAGGAAGCCCTGGAGGTGCGCAGGCCCCACCCAGCCCCACCCCTGGCCCTCAGCAAGGAGCAGGTGCAGATCTGAGACCTGAGCACCGCGTGTTACGGGCGGAGCTGCCAGCCTGGGACCATGGACAAGCAGAGCTGGTGGGGCTCGGGCACCCCCGCCCCCAGTGTGCAGGGTCCTGAGTATCAGCGCTCAGTGAGCCCCGCCTCAGCAGGCAGGATGGGGGCCTGTTGTGATGTGGGGACAAGCGGGAGAGAAGTGGGTCGCCTGGGGCGAGCAGGCTGCAGAGGCGACATGGGTCGGGTCGTCAGCGCTGCCCCAGGAGGGGGCTGTGGTCCCAGGCGTTGCTCTGAGCTTCTCTAGGGTCTCTGTGCGGCCGGGATCAGGGTGCGCCTCTGTGGCCCCAGCCCCCACAGAGGGGGGCTCCCAGACCCTGAGGCCCTGGGCTTCCGCGCCTCTGCTGCTCCTAGGGGTGGCTGCACCCCACATCCTTTCCCACGTCCCCTCACATAGAAAGTGGCGCTCTGCCCAGATGGGGCAGCATGGAAAGTTCTAGAGAGCATCTCATTCCCATACAACTCTTCGCCTGTGACCCAGAAAGGCCTGCTGCTGAGCCCACGGGCTCCCCACCCCACCCTCAGGCCTCACCCCATCCCTGTCCTGCAGGCACTGGTTCCCGTCACCATTGAAGTGGAGGTGCCCTATGACCTTCACCGCTACATCATCGGCCAGAAGGGAAGTGGGATACGCAAGATGATGGACGAGTTTGAGGTACAGCCACTTTGCAGGTCGTCTCCCGGGACGCCGGGTGCTGGGAAGGGGGCTCCATGCTCCTGCACGCTCCGCGAGCTGAGCTCTTCCCCCCCTCCCTCCTCATCTGGAGGCTGAGCTGTGTCCCCACGGATGCCCTCTGCAGCAGGCCTGCCCTGTCTCCACGCAGGTGAACATTCACGTCCCGGCACCGGAGCTGCAGTCTGACATCATCGCCATCACAGGCCTGGCTGCGAACTTGGACCGGGCCAAGGCGGGGCTACTGGAGCGGGTGAAGGAGCTGCAGGCTGAGCAGGAGGACCGGGTGAGGGCCAGGTGTCCGGGGCCGAGCCCCTCACACCCAGGCTGCCCCTCAGCAGGGAAGTTGGGCGGCAGAGACGGGGCTGGGTGACCCTGTGTCACCAGCCCAGGGTCGCACGAGCTGGGAGCACCTGTCGCACCACCTGTCCGTGGTGTCGGGAGCCTGGTCGCCTCTTAACCAAAACATCGAGAGCTGGACTTTGTCGTTAGCTGTGTCTTAAGTAAACAGGAAGACCTTTGCCAGCCTTACTGGGACGGTTCACCTGGGGAGGCCTGGGGGCCAGTTCCAGGAGAGACCCCCAGCGTGTGCACCTGGACCCGGGCAGGCCCCACCAGCACCCTGGGTGCTGTCTCCTTGGTGTCGGGGACGCGAGAAGCTGGCGTGATGCAGGGCGGGGACAGTGTGGGGCCGTCGGGAGCCTGTGCGCCTCGGCCACGGCCGCGGTGCCGGCCTTGGGGTCCCCCCTGCCCAGGCCTCTGGTTGTGGGCGTTCCCTCGCACTTCTATTCCCTTTCATGCGTCTGCGGTTTCTGTTTGGTTTGGGGATTTGGCGCCTGCTCGCGTCCCACCACCCTAAGCCCAGCTCTCTGCACACTCGCTCGTCTGCATCTCAGGCTCAGGAGATGGAGCCGGGCGGGCGCTGTGCTTGCGGGAGCGGCGTCTTTGGCCCCTTGTTTCGGTTGCCGGGGGGAGGGCCGCAGAGCTCAGCTGTAAAGCTGAGCCTCATTCTTGGTGCAGAGGTGACGCGATGCCTGTGGGCAGAGGACAGAGGGGCGCGGTGGCGATGGTGAGGGCCGGGCTGGAAGTGCTCCCTCCTCACTGCGCCTTGCCTCGTCGGCAGGCTTTACGGAGCTTTAAGCTGAGTGTCACTGTGGACCCCAAATACCACCCCAAGATCATCGGGAGGAAGGGGGCGGTGATCACCCAGATCCGCCTGGAGCACGACGTGAACATCCAGTTCCCTGATAAGGACGATGGGAGCCAGGTAGGGGGCCGGAGGGCCTGCCCTGCTGTGGCCTAGAGTCTCCTCTCTCCTGGGGCTGCTCTCAGTTCCTGCTCCTCTGTCTAGCACCCAGATGTTCATTGTTGTCCTTGGGTCCTTGGCATCGTGATATGCCCTTCTCCGGGGTGGTTGTATTTCTTCCTGTTCTGAGGGGCATGGCCCTCATGGAATTTCTACTTTCTTCTTTCTGCCTTGAGTTCCCCATTTCCTCTGCTGGTATTTATGGGTCTGGCGTCTCACATTTGCTGAGGGTGGGGGTGCCAGCTGCGGCGTCTGCACCTTCTCTGCAGGCCTCAGTCTCCAGTGGAGGGCCTTCCCTGTGCCCTGGCCATCCGGCGTCAGCTTGTCTGTGCCTGCACCCTCAGCCCATGGTGGCGACTGTCCTTCTTGGGGAGTCTGGGGGAAGGAGAGGATGCTGCCACCCTGCCGGGCTGCCAGTCTCCCCTTCAGGCACAGCGTCCGCCTTTGGCCCTCAGCCTGCCAGCGAGCATCTGCTGCTCGTGGAGTGTGCCCCCAGCCGGGGCTTGCAGGCAGGTGTCCCTGGGGTGCCCTCTTCTGACCAGATCCTCTCTCAGCCACAGGACCAAATCACCATCACAGGCTATGAGAAGAACACGGAGGCTGCCCGGGACGCCATCCTGAAGATCGTGGGTGAGCTTGAACAGATGGTTTCTGAGGATGTTCCTCTAGACCACCGCGTTCACGCCCGCATCATTGGTGCCCGTGGCAAAGCCATCCGCAAAATCATGGATGAGTTCAAGGTGAGTCCCCAAGCTCAGCCTGGAGCATGGCTTGCCCTCAGAGCAGGCGGGGAGATGGGCTGCACACCCTCAAACCATTGGAGACCCCAGGCTCAGGTGGTGAGGCGCTGTGGGTCACAGCGGGGACAGCTGACCCTGCGGGGCAGTGAGCGGCGGGCGGCCTCCACTGAAGGGGCCGTTGGCGCACGCACGGTGGGGCCCTCGCCCACCCTGGCTCTGTGTCCTCTGCATCCAGGTGGACATCCGCTTCCCACAGAGCGGGGCGCCCGACCCCAACTGCGTGACCGTGACGGGGCTCCCGGAGAACGTGGAGGAGGCCATCGACCACATCCTCAACCTGGAGGAGGAATACGTGAGTCCTGCGGGGGCAGCTGGCCCGGATGGGCCGGGGTGACGGGCCCCTGCCACAGACTGATGCCGCCTGTGCCCACAGCTGGCCGACGTGGTAGACAGCGAGGCGCTGCAGCTGTACCTGAAGCCCCCTGCCCACGAGGAGTCCAAGGCGCCGTCCAAGGGCTTCGTCGTGCGCGACGCCCCCTGGACCGCCAGCAGCAGCGAGAAGGTGAGGCCTTGCCCCCAGCGACCCGCGCTCGTGCCGTCCGGGGCCGCTGCGGGGCGCTGTCCCTCAAGCCGTGTGCTCCCTCACAGGCTCCCGACATGAGCAGCTCCGAGGAGTTCCCCAGCTTCGGGGCTCAGGTGGCCCCCAAGACGCTTCCGTGGGGCCCCAAGCGATAATGACCAAGGAGCAGCACCCGCCCCGCGAGGGTCCGCCTCACTCTGACCCAGCAGCTGGACCCCACATTCGTGTCGATCCCGCCCGCCCTGAGGTCTCACGGCGAAGCCGGCGGCCCCGGCCCGGCCTGGCCCTGTGCTCGGCACCTCGTGAACACTAAGGAGGCCGTGGTTCGGAGTCACCCCGCACAGCGGCCAAGCTCCCGCCCCGCCGGGAGAGCCCGCAGCTGCGGCTGCGCCTGCTTCCTGTCATGACCTCAGGAAATAAATTTCCTTGACTTTATAAAAGCCAAACGTTTGCCCTCGTCCTTTCCCACCTCCCTCTCCCCTGCCTGCTGCAGGCCTCCTCCTCGAGGACCACCCGCCTCTTCCAGCTGCTGGAAACCCCACCGACCCAGACCCTGAGGTCAGGGGGAAGGCCCTGCGTGCACACGGTGTGTCCCGGGCCCAGTGAGAGCCCGGGGCTGCCCGAGGACCCGAAGGCAGACAAGGGGCGGCTCTCGCACGGCCCGGCCTCCACGTCAGGGTCTGCACCCCAGACCACCCAGCCCTTCAGGCAGAGGGAAGACCGCCTGGCAGGGCTCTGGCGGAGCGCAGGCAGGGGTGAGGGAGCTGAGGCAAGGTCGCCTGGCAGGGCTCTGTGGAGTGCAGGCAGGGGTGAGGGAGCTGGGCCCCCCACTCCTCCACAGAGGGCCCCGCTCCCTGCCACAGGCCTGCTTGTGTTTCTGCACTGCCTTCAGCTCTCGCACCCACCAGCCCGTGCCCCACACCTCTCCCTGCCCCTGGCCCCCCAGTCCACTGGGTTCTGGTGTTCGCTACGGCTTCAGGGCCAGAAGCCAGCACTCTGGGCTCAAGGCCGCACCCTGCCCCACCTCCAGAGTCCAGAGTCGGGGGTGCGCAGGCCAGCCCCCCAGGCGTCCTCGGATGCGTGTGTGAGAGGTAAGCTGCTGGCCCCTGGGTGCAGAGGATGTCCCAGCTGGCGGAGGACCTGGTCCTTCTCAGGTGTCTGGTAGGATGGCCCAGGCGTCAGCCCCTGGCCTCCGCAGGGCAGGGTGCTTGGTGAAGGGAAAGGTGGGGCCCTGGGCCCTGGGCCGTCTGTCCCCACGGAGGTGACCGGCCACTCTTGAGTTGTCCGGTCCCTGGTCCCCAACCTCCTGGAGAAGCTGACTGTGTCCTTGGGAGAGTCACCGCTGCTTAGCCCACCTTCTCCCCCACCTCCACCCCATGGGAGGTTTTTCTCTCAGTTTATTAACTCAGGCTCAGTCATCTTGACTTTAATTCCTGAACAGACCAAGAGTAGTCTCCCCACTGCAAGTCCAGGCTGGCCCAGGCAGCCTGGAACATGCCCATCCATAGGCATGGCCGATGCGGGGTGTGTGAGGCCCCGGACGAGGCAGAGCCAACGGCTGGGGAGGACGGAAGGGTGCCCTCTTGCCTCCGCAGGGGGGCCCGGCCCTGGGAGCCCCTCCTGCATCTGCAGGGTCTTGGGGCCTCTCCCCGGTCAGCTCCCTCCCACTGGCCCCCGGCTCCCAGGGGGTCTGCTCACAGCTCCTCTGTGTGTCCTGCGAGGTTCTCTGCAGCCGCCACCCTCCCCTCCCCAAAGGGGCCTTTGTAAGTTCCCACGGGAGACCTCGCACATGTGCGTTCATTGCGAACCCCCGGCCTTCGCCGTGTCTGCTCTGGTGGTGGTTGAAGGTCGCGTGGTGACTGCCCTGGCCTGTGCCCTGTGGCCTCCGGGGCTGCATGCACCTGGCGGGACGGGGCGTGTGCCCCATGCCCTCTTCGAATGTCTTCCATGTCACATGTGTCCATAGCTACCATCCATCCCTTGGCCTTAACTTTGAAATCTGGAGATTATATGCAAACATGTGTGGAGGCTCATGAATATGGATGACACTGGAATTTTATAAATTCTAAAATAAAACCCAAACTGGATACAGTGTGCTGAGACTCTTCTTATCACGCCCTGCCGAGCTCAGCCTCGGGGAACCAGGCGTGCCTGGCATGCTCTGGAGGGTCACTGGGCACCCCACAGATGCTTGGTGCGGGCCCCCAGCTGGCACAGGGTGCTCAGCCCTGGACTAATGGCCTCGCAGGAGCCAGGGTGCCGGGAGGCATCAGTGTTGGGGGTGGATGGTGACTGACACCTTCCAGGACACCAGGGGGTGTGGACGTTTGATGGCAGCGCGGTCATCCCTGGCAGCCAGGCCGGATGGCTCAGTGGTCTTCATTCAGGGGGGCATCACACAGCACAGCGCTGTCGGGAAGGCTCGTGGTGGTGTGCCCTGCGGAAGAGGTCACACCTGGGGGTCCCATCCCTGAGGCCAAGGTGGGACCACTCCAGGCGGGAAAGGAAGGTGGTGTGGGCAGGTCCTGCCAGGCACCACACCCCAGTGACCAGGGCTGTGTCTGTATGAATGCTCATCAAGCTGATGTGCTCACTTCATGCAAACCCAAGATTTCTTATGTTTCCGTAAGTTTACTTTTAAAAGTCTGAAACAACAAAAACAACCATCTGGAAGAAAACGCCTGTGGATTTTGTAACAAGTACACGGTGCACACAGCCCCACTGCCCACAAACAGAAGGACGGCTCATTTTCTGGACTGTGGGCGAGCAAGCACCTGCCCCTCTGTCTCAGCCCCTCCCTGGTCAAGAGATACCTGGTGCTTCCTGAGGCCCGGATCTGTGGGTGTTACAAAGGCGTCGACTGGCAGTTCTGAGGAGAAGCTTGGTGGACTGTGTTGCATCACTGTCGTGCAGCACTTGAAGGACCACGTGTCCTTGCTGACAGTGCTGTGACCTCAAGGAGCGCTCCTCTGAGAGTCAAAAGTGGGCACTGTCTCCTGGTGTCTACTGCGGGGCTTCCACCACGGAGCAGAGGGCAGTGAGCCGCCGGCAAGGCTGGGGCACAGCTCCTCTGTGCTCGGAGCTCAGAGGAGGCGGATGCAGGGCACTCACGAAGACGGGCGGTGGGTGAAGTCCAGCTGCAGGTGCCGTGAACCTCCCCGTCCTGAAGAGATGATCCCATGCAGACAGACGGGAAGACTTGCGGAAGGAGAGCCACCAAGCGTCACGGGGGTGAATGTCCTTTCCTCTGAGTGCTTCAAGGAATAGAGTTCAGTCTCCCTCCAAACCTTCCCCATCGCGGCGCTCGCCACCTTGAGGCTGCTGCTGGCCCAGGCTGGCGGGAGCCAGGCGCTGCCACAGGAAGCGCTGAACGGGCTGGGGCTGCTCGGAGGCTGTGGACGGGCCGGAAGGAAAAGGCGCCGGAGCAGTGAGCAGGCGGAACTGCGGGCCTTGTCAGAGGAGGGGGCTGCAGGGGCCCGGGGGTGGGGTGAGCAGGCTCACGGCTGCGGCCCAGAAGAATCTGGTTTGGGGCTGCCAGCTGGGGTACGTGGGGGGCAGGCTGGACCCCTCCTGGGCCGGGTAGGAAGTGGCGGGGCTGGCTGGAGAGGGGATGCCACCGTTTGAGGGGCAGCAGGTACAGGGCGGGCCAGACGGAGGACCCCAAGTCCACCAGCTTGAGGGGAGATGAGCCCCATCCAGGGCTGAGGGGGCGGACATGTGAAGCCGGTGGAGGCCACCTCCCGTGCCTGCGAGGCCGGGCGGGGGGCAGGCGAAGGCGGGGGAGGCGCGACGTGTGGGGAGGCAGCGCACCTCAGCTATGGAGCCATCCCGTCCGGGTGAGGGGGGAGGTGGGGCTGGGTGGGAGACGTTAGGGAAAGCTGCCCCTGGGCACCGAGCGCCCCACCTTCCAGGTGCCCTGGCTGGAGTCAGCGGACCATGGGGCCAGCCCATGCCAGGGCCTGGGAGGCAGACAGGCCTGAGGGGCCAGGAGCTGGGCGGTGGCCTCTGAGGTGGGAAGCCTTTGACAGCATCACCCCCCACCCCGCCTCCAGGCCCCTCAGCTGCCTCGTGTGTGGCAAGCTGTGACTCCAGCTCCTGGCAACCTAGTCTCTGAGCCCAAGGCTTGGTTCTCTTTTACTCCGGTTGTTCCAAAAAGAGCCTGTTTTCAGGAAGGGGCAGAGAGGAGGATCGTGATTAGACTGACTGCGGCGCAGTGCGGGCGGGGGTGGGCGTGGGGGCTCACCTAGTTCTCAGCCAGCGTCTGCTTGGGGCTGTAGCGCTGCTTCACCTGATCGCCGCAGATTCAGGGATGTCGGTTTCCTCGACGTTGAGGAGCCGCCAGCGCAGAACACCACGTGCTGGGTGGGAGCCACGCACCCCCACCCCTTGGCACACGTGCCAGAGTGGGGCCAGAGGTGGGCAAGGGCTCCGCAGGCGTGGGCTGAGCTGGACAGCAAGCATCAGTGCAGGAAAGGAAACTCCCGGAAGAGGCAGAGGCCGCAAAGCAGACCACCCGAGCCTCCACGGACCCTGCAGTGCCCAGGGGAACTCTGGACAGAGGCCAGGCCGAGAGGCGAAGACGCAGCGGGCCGCCCTCTGCCCGCGGGGGGACAGCAGGGGCGCTGGCCTGCGGCCTCCCCCATGCCCACCTCGTGGACCACGCACTGACCTTGGGCGGAGCCCTGGGGTGGGAGCGAGGCCCAGCATCCTGCGGGCCTCGGCACCTCGAACACCGTGACGAGGGCCGGACAGGTGGCCCTAGAGTCCAGTAGGTCCGGGAATAATGTGCATCATCCTCCCGGAAGGCCTGATACCTGTGGGAGCCACGCGGCGGTGGGAGGCAGGTTGAGGTGCCAGCGCCCCTCTCAGCCCGCCACCTGCTCCCCACCGCCGAGCTCAGCCCGCGGGCGCCGGGAGGCCATCCCCGCACCGGCTGATCCCCTCCCGCAGTGCAGCTCCGGAGGCGGTCTTTCGGGTAGCCGGGCCCTCCCAACCTGGCCGCTCCGGATGCCGCCCCGCCCCTCCGTGGGAGCCCGGCCCCCGGCGCCCTCACCCGCACGGGCGGCTGCGCGCAGCGCTGAATCTGACTGGTAGTGGGCGCGCGTCAGGAATTGGGCCGAGAAAGCCAGCAGGAACGCCCGGGCGGCCGGCGAGTGAGCGCAGGGCCGCGCGCCCCGGTCGGCCCGCTGTCCCGGGGGACCGCTCCCGTCGGGCCCGGCGCTCACGTTGCTGACGCCCGCCAGGTGCGGGATGCCTCCAGCATGTGGAACAAGATGCCCTTGTCCTGCGCGCGCTCGGCCACCGGGCGGATGAACTGGCGCGCGTCCAGGAGGATCTCCACCCAATTGCTGAGCAGGCAGGCGGCCCCGAAGGTGGTAATGAAGCCGAACTGCGGGACTGCGGGTTTAAGGGTCGCCGCCAGGCCCTCCGGTGGCCACGGCGTGCGACCCTGACTTCTGCCCGCCCGGTTTCATCCGGTGATAAGGACCACATGCACCTTCGACCAGTGGCCCGACACTGCCCACAGTAAATACTTCACCGCGCCCTTCAGGGAGGCCGGGGGACCACCCCTGCCTGTGCCCACAGTCCCTGCTTTTACTCATCCCGCAGGCCTCAAGGCAAGGCCTCCTTCTCCAGGAAGCCTCCCCGATCTGCTCTCACAGCGCTGGGTGCGTTTCTGGCCATCCCCGGCCTCCCCCTGCTGCCTGTGGTCTGGGACTCTTAACTGTCCTTCCCAGTGCCGCGCCCGCCCTGTGAACTCTTGGCAAGATTCTCGGAAGGGGCTCCTTGAAGGGGGCTTCTGGCTCTTACGTCAGATTCCTAAGGAGAGCCTGGGCCCGGAGGCCTTTCGTCCAGTGGCCACCCGCTCACGTTGTCCTGAGGAAGCACATCCCTCCCTGTACGCTTTCTGCCCTCTTCACCCACAGAACAAAGCAACTGCCGTCACCCCTGTTGCTCTGGCTGCCGGGAGCTCAGAGCAATGCCTGCCTTGCTCAGATGCGGCAGTTTTGACTGTGCTGCGGTTCTCCCCTCTGTCATCAAACAGAAGGGCCGCATGAGATGCAGACCCTGGCCTCAAAAAGTACAATCACCCCATCCATGCGGGGGATGAGCCCCAGACACAGGCCACCTCCTGGCAACGGCACTGGAGGGTCCAGCAAAGAGTGTGGGCATCGAAAAACTGTCCGGAGAAGTCCAGCTCTCCAGGCCATCGCTGCCTCCGTGCAGCCTCACCCCGGCCTGAGCGCCCTCACTGCTCTCCTCACGTCCTGCGCCAGGCTCTGGCCCTGGCGTTCGGGGGTGGGAGGAGATGAAGGCCACTCCAAGCGAGCCCCGTCAGTGGCCCCAGGTCCTCTCTGAGTCCCTGGACCTGGAGCACTGCCCCTCCTGCCCTCAGCCAGCCTTTCTTGAGAGCTCCCCGCCATGGCCCCACCATTCATTTCCTGATCTCCCCCCGCCAGGCTCCATCAGGGACTCCCTGTCACACCCATCCCTACATCGTATTTCAAGGCAGATGCAGGCAGGAATGCCGAGGCTGGAAGGCCCCTTGGTGGTGCAGTTACCCTTCCTCATGGTGCTGGTGGTGACAGCCCCTACCATGGCCCCTGCCCATCTCGAGGTACCCGTCAAACAGGCCTTCAAAGGGCAAAAGCTGGTAGTCCGCCTCTACCTCCCAGAGCACCTGGCTAGCCGCCAGGGAAACCGCTGCCTTCCTCTTCTCAGAGCGGAGCCGGAACCCCTGCTAGCAGCCCTTTAGCTTCCTAGAGACAGAAACACCAGGGTTAAGCAAAAAGGAAACATCAGGAAGATGGCCCTGTTCTGAGCCCTCCCCTGGTCGCCCTGCAAGGAAAGGCAGCAGGAGCTGGAGGCCTGGGGCCCAGGGTGTGCAGAGCGAGGGGCAGGCCTTCTGCACCCACATCCCCCTGGTGAGGCAGGGTGCCAGCCTCCCCCCAAGCTCCCTTGGGC